GCTAAGTTTCTATCTAAGGTGAAAGCACAGTAACGTAACTAGAACTCCATTTGATCAGACAGGAGTGAACCTGCAACCACATATATGTATAATTAAAGTACTCACCTGCAATACCAATTAATACTGTGATGAAGAAACATAGAAAGAATCCTACAAATACCATTACAAACTGTCTCTTTGTGAGCGTATAAAGACGCATCTGAACTGACCTGAAAACAGAAATATATACAGTGTATTACTGAATCAACTTAACAGTTCTATTTTTGATAGTTTAATCAGATTTAGCTTGTCTTCCAGGGTATTAATAAAAAGGGTGACAGAATGACAAAAATATACATTTTACATAGAAACAATTCCAAACATTTCATTCTAACAGGGTGTTAGCCAGCCACCAGTACACCAACCAAACAGACTGGCAACTTTTTCCCATTTTATTGTTTTTTTCTATTGTTCTTTGATAATTTACCAAAATATCCAAAACCATCTACATTTTCATGTAGTTGAATTGTTTTGGACTGGCAGTTGCAAATTTCTGGATAATAGCCTGGATCCTATTTTTTGCTGTAATATGAGAATGCAAATAATAAATGGCATAATCACAAAGCAAGAAGACTTGAGGAATTTGCAGTTGCAGAAATTATATTAGGCTTGTCTCTTTTATAAAACTTTAACTGCTGTGAATGGACACAGCTATGACCCAGGTCATTGATTAGGAAAAACACTACGATTTGCAGGTAAAAACAAACTAGTGACATTTCTCATTTTTGTATGTGCAATATTAAAAAATAGAAGCCTAGAAGCCATAACCAAGCAAGTTTTCTTTACTTATAGACCAATTTACTGTTAAATGTATGTACGCAGAAGATATTCTAGCTGTATGTATCCACAATGGCATGATTGTGTATTGTAAGTTGTTTTCAAACATAATTTGAAATTTTCAAGCATTTTGTAAACATTTCATAAAAAAAAAAAAATGTATTATCAACACTGCTATAATAATAATAATAAACTTTATTGCCTCCTTGTTAACAATTTTACACTGGATAATAGCAAAAAGTGATAATTTATAAAATGTATTCAACAGAAGTTAAATATAGTTCACAGTAATTCTTAGAATTACTTGGACAGCCTGTTAGCAAGCTGGCTAGTGGCTTTATAAAACATCCCACATCTGCTTTGTAACATAAGCCTGGCAAACAGACAATGGTTTGCTGAACAGCATTTAGATCTAAATCACCATAACCATCTGCAAAAATGCTTGATCATAAATTATACATGTAATTCAATAAAAACATTTCTAAGCAAGTGAAACCATAATATGTTTTGGTTTCAGTAAAGCATGTTAATTGCATTTGTGACTTATTAGCTATTTACAGTTGGCATTGTTAGACAGACAGCTGACACGTATTACTTTTAGAAATATTAGTGTAGCAACTAAGGTATCCAAATCCTGTTGTGGTACAAGAAATGTTCAGTTATAAAAATATTGCAATTTCTCTCTTAAATGAATGTAGTCTTGACTACATTCATTTAACCGTCGCGGAGGATCAGGAGGAATTGCTTCTCTGCCCGGTTCGAGCACCGAGTTGCTACGAAAACCGTACTAGGGATTCGAGACACTATATGTAGTTTTTGCTGAAACTGAAGAGGCCTTTTTATCATGCAACAAATAATAGGAATGATAAGTAATATAAAACAGATGTCCTATACACTGATCACTGAAAATAACATTTCAGGTCAGGTCAGT